ATACAATCTATTTGTTCCTGTTCTGTTGATCCTGCCCCCTTCCCCCCCCCCCTCGCACATATACAAACACGAAGCCCACCATTCGATATTCCGAGCCTCGAGCTGCACCCACTAAAAACTCAACCACCCACGACAATTGGAATGAATCCCTTTCAGTCGAATCAATTATGCAGAATGAATGAACAGGGACAACTGTCATGTGGGTCACGAATTCATGTCATACACACACACACACACACACACACACATATCACGCCGCGGGCAAAAACACGCATCGCGGCTTGTGGTAACCGACATGAACAAACAGTTGGATTGCGGCCGAGAGGGTGGAAGGCGGAATGGATTCTGACAATACGATGCGGACAACAGAGAGGGAAGAGAATCAACTGGGTAGGGCCGATTTCCATATCTGTGAACAGCAGGAGCACGAGCATCATTAACAACTTGAGTACAGATTTTGAATCGACCGCCCAGGAGGATCGGCCAGATGGAGTCTATTGAACGGTTGGTTTGGGCGACTGAGAATGTACGATGCACGAATAAGAAATTTCTTTATGATTCAATAACATGTGTTCAGAGAAGAATAAAATGGAGATAGATTGAGCCACAAAAGTGTGGTCCCCTTACTTTCGTTTTCCGCATAGTACTGCTTCTGCATTCCCGAATAAAGTGTACCAAATTTCGGAACGAAACTGTGTTACTAGTTAATTGGCGGAGAAAATATGAAACCCGCACATCCACCAAGTATAGGACCTCCTAGTCGGATTTGCTTTCGAGCGGAATATTCCACAAAATCAATAAACCTGACAACAAGCCAAACAGTTCGATTTGTGGATAATCCGATCTAAAAATCACTGGGAATCGGAATCGCGTGACTTAGGAACGGAGGAACAGGAGATGCGTCCTAATTGTCTAGCCTTTCCCCCGAGGACTTTCATTCATGTTGGTTGTATTTCAGAGAACTCACAGTGAATTTCGTCTGCACAAGTCGACAAGAAAAGATGCATCAGACGGGCAAAATATTTGCGCTCGAACGAATTGAACCCAGTTAGCATGCAATCGTAATATCTAAGTGACAGAGAAATATCGCACAACAATATCCGAAATGGGACAAGCAATGTACACATGATAAGTTATAACCGTTCTTATTCCATGTAAAGTCAAAATCAAAGTCAAAGTTTTATTTCAGAAATTATTTACCAGCTCATGCTTCTCTTGTCCCCGTAGGATATTTACATAGTTAAATTGTTTCATGGCGAAAACAAAATCACATGCAGTTTCAGGTAGAAGATTATAGAGAATTTAGGCTTCAATGAATTTGCACTTGCTTTCAATGGTGTAGAAATGTGAGGTATAAAGGTTGGTGCACAAGCGAAGTGAGATGGAAGAGTGTTCCGGGTACTGCATACTCTGACTGCAAAAGACTGGCGCCGGCATTCCAATCGACACTTTGGAATCATTAACTTGAAACGGGGTCCCCTAGGGTGGACCTTGTTCGATAAAATGAGCAGCGGTTGACATGGATGGTTTCGGTTCTGCAGTATTTGATACGTCAAAATCAAGTCTCCTCGAGTTCGGCGGTACTGAACAGAATATAGTCCCAATGATCATAATCTCTCCTCATAGGTGAGGCCATGCAATCCCTTGACCATCTTGGTGGCCATCCTTTGTGGGCACTCAAGCTTCTTGGGATCACGTTGAAGCCATGGATTCCATGCTTGGATGGCGTACTCTGTGTACGGTCGAATGTACACTGACAGGAAACGTGGGAATAGTGATGATTCAAACCGATCAAATACTCGATTAAGCAAGCCTATATTCCTCACAGCCGTGGATGAAGCCTTAGCACAATTGATGGAGCAGCTTAAATCCTTTTGAACAACAATATCTGAGGTTTTTTCGCTTGAAGTATGTGGTAGCTGCTGATTTCCGAGGAAATACAAGAATTTTCTCTTGTGATGTAGGGATAGGACTTTTGGTGTAGAAACATTGAATTCAATGTCATTCTTCTGAGACCACTGATAAGCTGCGTTAAGTGATTCTTGAAGTGTTAGAGAGCTCTCAGGTTCTGTTACTGTATTTCCGATTTTGGAGTCGTCTGCAAACTGTATAGTTTTTGGACCTAAATTTTTAGGTAGATCTTTTAGAGCTGCGATGAACAGACGGGGACCGAGTACGGACCCTTGAGGAACATCGCGAGTAGTAGTTAGTTACAGTTAGTTACAGATTGCCACAAAATAACTTCATTGCAACATTCCAAGGCTGATTGATGCCCACTGCTCAAAAAGCAAAAAAAAAAAAAACAAATGGCGGCATGTTGTTCGGTGGAAATTAAGATCACGCAGTGGCCAACTGCACAACCGTAAACCCGATGGAGAGCCCTTCGAGAACGCTTGCCTGTCAGGTGTACAAGGATGCGGTGGGGAACCATTCGAAGTATTGTAGCGAGAAGGCGAGCTGCCTGAGAAAAACGTATGTTGATCCAATTCAAAAACAAATGGTGTATGCGTTCGATTATAGACAATCAATTCTCAACCGTGCGGCGGGATGATTCATGCCTCTTTCTGTGGGTCATTCCTTGTTGGTTTTGGTCCGCACTTGGCACGTGCGTTGCCTCTTCTTCCGCATGCCATTCCGACTGGTTTGACCCGATCGCGGCACGAGATGCGTTGATCGACAGCTCCGACGTTGTGGTAATCGGTGGATATATTTCCCATTAGCTGCGGATTGTCTGTCGGGATGTAATTGTCGATTCGCTCGTTTCGGGTGGCAGTCAACATTGTCTCGCGAGGCACTTCCCGCCGCTGCATCTGCGCGTCTGGTCGAATGAGCCCCATTCTTGACTCGGTCGCTAGCCAGGACTCTCTTTGTACCGCCTTCCATCACAGTATGATCTCATAAATGCTCTTCTTTTTTATTACACACCCACGTGTGATGAATAGCAGACGGGATA